CTCCTGTAACGGACACAAGGTGCCCAGCGTCTTTAATGCCACAACTGCGGGGACTCGGGGACCAGACGAGACCCGGGGGCGGGGCGGGGTGCCCGCGGGGAGCAGCCGTCAGCACCCCTCCCTCCAGGCGCCCAAAGCCGCCCCGTCAAGCCAAAACCACGGGGCGACCGTGGGTGCCTGGGTGCAGAGTCAAGCATGTTCGAGCAGTCACCGCGCGGCCGTGTGGCCCGACCCGGGGGCGGGGCGGGGCGGGGCCCTGAGCGCCCACACCCGGCCTCCTTGGGAGGATGGTGGGAGGGTCCAGATGCTGCTAACACCACTTGTGGACCTCATCACCCCAGACCTCTTAACTTCAATCCGGCTGGATTGTGTGTTCTTCTCTTGTCACCTACTCGACTTCCCTCTAGCCCTCAGTCTTCCCCATCTCAGTAAAGGCAGGTTCATCCCCAACTGCTCAGGCTCTGAATCCTAGAGTAGTTTTTGATGCTTTCTCCCAAGCCATATTCCTGATTTCTGCAACCGTGCCTGGCATGGAAGGAGCCATTTATCAAATACTTGTTGAATGAGCAAGTGAGTTAAATGAGATGTTGCATCTGACAGCGTTTTTGTTATGTTTGGCCCAATAGCAGGCAGACAGAAGCAGGGTTTGCAGGGAGACAGGCAAGCACACTATTGCTCACCAGTGATAATAATGATTTCCCCTCTTTTTAGAGTCCTGAGGCCCCAGTCCCTTTCCCCAGAGGAAATGCCTCAGTGGTTTCTTCTAAATACTTCCAGAATGATAACTATAAAAATACCAAAATAGGCCCTCCTTGGTGGTGCAGGGGGTTAAAGCACCGCACTAAGATGCCAAAAACACTTCAGCATGAGTTGGATCCCCGCCCTGGAGGTGACCCACATGGCACAGCAGACCTCTCCTGACCTGCCCGCCGCTCCCCTCAGCAGTATATTTCAGTTCATCTGCTTGTACTGCTCCCTGCTCTGTCTCTGGTGAATCCTCTCACACCCTGCACCTCTGGCCTGTACCCAGTTCTGTATGCATAAATAAGTAAATCTTTTTAAAAAATACCAAAATAGGAGGTTATAGAGCATACACAGTAATAATTTTGAAAAATGCAAAGACATAAAAAGGAAACAATGATTTCAGAGTACTTCTGTCAACTGATGGGGCCCTGGGTACAGACACACCAGCATGAGGTAAACCTGTGTACACAACTGTGCATGGGTGTACCCAGACATGCACACACGTGGACACATACCTGCATACCCTTAGGGAGGAATCCTCAGGTGCTGTAACCTCCTTCACCTTCTTTATCGCTGCTCATGACTTCCCTCCATATCTTCCTACAGATGCACACACACATAGACCCTGTTTATGTAGATAAAAAGCATCCAGAGTTCATCCTGTTTCTACCTCTGTAACTTAAAAGAAAAATAAGCCAGCCTCTGTCTTCTTAGGGCCCACACCTATGATTTATGGGCATCCCCTTCTGTTGAGGCAGATGGAGAAAGAGTAGGATATTTTGTCTGTTTCTCTAACTGAAAAACAAGGCCAGGAAAGTGATTCTATATCCACTGTGAGCTGGGTAAGGATGCAGAGCCCGTGGTGGCTGCAACTCAGACCTGGCTCCATGCAGAGGTGCCTGAGAGAGGAAGTCAGTGGGAGGTGGGAACAAGGCTGGTGGGAAGAAGTGAAGCAACAGAAGGAGGCAGACATAGCCCAGTGAGAGGAGAATCAAGTCCTAATCCAGTTACCAACTAGCTCTGTGGTCTTGGTAAGCTTCTTCTTCTTCTTTTGAGATTTATTTATTTATGTATACAGAACTGGGGTACAGGCCAGAGGTGCAAGGGTGGTGAGAAATTCACCAGAGGCAGTGTGGGGAGCAGAACAGGCAGATTGACGAAGTACACTGCTGAGGGGAGCAGCAGTTGAGACAGGAGAGGTCTGCTGCACCATGTGGGTCACTTCCCTGGCCAGGAATTGGACTCACGCTGAAGAGTCTGTGGCTGGTTTCACAGTGTTGTGCCTTAACCCGTTGCACCACCAGGGAGAGCCCCTGGTCAGCTTCTTAAACCTGCTGAGCCTCAGTTTCCTGATCTGTAAAACTGGTTATAAATAACATTATCCTGCCTTACTTACTCACCTGGTTTGAGTATAGTACAATTCAGATAAAACACTTGAAAAAACATAGTACTGAGAAAAGTGAGATTCAATTAAACAAAATTGCTTCTATTATGGAATATGTCAAACCTATACAGTAGTAGAAAATGCACAAGACAACTTACTGTAGGGTTCCATTTAAATGAAATGTTCAGAAGTGCAGTGGTATTTCAGCCAGTGGCTGCCTAGGGAGCGAGGGGAGAGTGGGGTGAGGGTTGGGGTTGACTGCAGGGGGTCCATGGAACCTTTTTGAGAGTGCTGGAAATGTTAAAAAATGGATTGTGATGATTGCGCTTTATAAAATTTACAAAATATTATTAAATGGTGCATCTATATCCAATTCCATTTTCTTACTGTTCTGATGCAAATTCAAGATCATTGTTTCACCTGAAATATTTTAATATATCTCTGTGACATATATCACAGTAATCTTTAAAGACTCATCCCCTAAAACAAAGTGAAGGAAAAGATAAACAGCTGGGATTACATCAAACTAAGAAGCTTCTGTACAACAAAAGAGACATTAATCAAAACAAAGTTGCCCTACTGATTGGGAGAAAATTTTTGCATTCCATACAACTAATGAGGGACTGAACACAAAGACCTACAAAGAATTCATATAACTCAACAAAAACGAGTAAACAATCCAGTCCAAAAATGGGCAGAAGACACTTCTCCAAAGAGGAAATGCAAATGACCAACAGGTATATGAAAAAATGTTCAACATCCCTCATAATAAGGGAAATGCAAATCAAAACCACAATGAGTGAGATACCACTTCACACCAGTGAGAATGGCAATTATTAGAAAAATTAGTAACAGATGGGGGGCCCTCCCTGGTGGCGCAGCGGGTTAAATAAAGCACAGCACTGAGAATCTAAAGCCACTTCCGCATGAGTTCCATTCCCGCCTGCCCCGGAGGTGACCACATGGCGCGGCAGACCTCTCCTGACCC